AAAGGACTCCCCATCTCACAAATTGCGCGGTCCAATCTTCCATCGCAATCGTGCGATACGCGGCGGGTGCAGCGTGCGCGACACCGTCTTCGGGGAGATGTTCCCGGACCCAAAAGAAATCACCTCGAGACCTTCTTTGCCATAACTCATCTCGAACTCAATGTTTTTGGCTGATTTTTTGATATGTTGTCAACAATAATGATATTCAATGTCTCCATCAGAGAGCTCACGGAACTCCTTTCTATTTCGTTTTAAAGGCCACTTTTCACATTTTTTCTGAACAGGACAAAATAAGATCAGTTTCAATAAGTTGAGATAAATCACTTGACTTGAACGCTGTCATCATGAGATTAAAACCTAATCAACTACTCGTCTAATACTTTGTAGTGGAGCCGTTGGCATCGATGACGGCTTTTCATCTGTGTGGCATTGATTCGACCAACCTGTCGATCAGGCACTCATCGATTTCCTTCCATTCTTTTCGAATAGGCCAAACTTCTGAGCAGCATTTGTGACTGTTTTATCGGTTATCCTTTTTTGTGTTCTTATACGAATGTCCATTGATGTTTAGGTCAGGGGACTGGGGCTGGTCGAGTTATGGCATCGAATTCCCCGATTAATCAGCCACTCACGCACCCCTTCTAGACCTGTGTCCGGGGCCGTTATCTCGCTGGAAAGTAAATTTTCTTCCGTGCACAGGACGAGAGAAAGGTAACATGGTTTTCTGTAAAAAGTCTACGTACATCTGCTAGGCCGTAGTGATGAAAACATGGTGCACGGACCCCATGCCTGGACTCGGAGACCATCCATAAACCAATGCTGAGCCGGCACCATGCCTGAGAGTTGTCAAATGGTACTTGGGGTCTGAACCTGAGTTTTAAAAGGTCGTCTAAGACGAAACCCTAGTGTACCAAGTCAAACAATATTTGACTAGTTGCTCTAGATGATCGCGTCATTGGTTGAAGGTCCAGTGAAGGTGATCACACACCCATCAAAGTCGAGCTCGACTGTTTTTCCAGAGATCCGGATACTTTTTGACAAGTCTTCCTCCATATATCCCAGCACCCCACAGGAGTCTGCTGATGGTAACTCTACATGGTAGCGGCGCCGCCGTCGTTGATATTTCGGTCATTATGTCGAAAGATGCTCGTCTGGGATCTTGAGTCGACGCCAAAATTATCTTCCTATCGTCCTCAGGAGCGGCAATCCGTAACCTAACCGAGCTATCTAGTTTGGTTGGGCCTGTGAGATACTCAATACTTCTGATAGCTTTCGTAACCGTAGACATTGGTACAACAAACAGCCTTGGATGTTGAGCTTGGGTCAGTTCCTGCTTACTGCCCGTGGCGATGGCGGAGAGATGCCCCACGGTCAGAAAGCAAGAGCCGGATTTTTGTCTCTTCACTGAGAGCAACCAGCTAACAGAACAGAAGGATCATCAATATTTCTAGACTCGAAAAACACAATGAAATCGGCCTATCAGGCCCCTATCGCAAGTTTTTTGCAAAAAAATTAACCTACTCGACCGGAAGTGAGCTTCCGCCAATTCTGCATCGCAGGAGAGCCAGTAACGTTTGAAAAGTGTGCTATCAAGAAATCAAGTGAAAAGATCGAGTTTGAGATGAGTTGTGGCAGAAAAGGTTCAAGGTGATTTCTTTTTGAACGGTACTGTATGTAGTCGTTTATTGTACTCCATGTGGTACCGAGTACTTTGGTTTCTTTAGATTGACAGAGATTTGTTGGCTTGATTTGATTCTTCAGGACGCTGCTGTTGAGTTGGAGTTGTCGCAGATTCATGTTGAGGGTGTTGAAAATTTCCTTCGTGTCTTGATATATTCTTAGAGCTTCACGTGTTGGAGATGTTAATATAAGATTGTCGACGTAAATATTGTCCCCTATCCCTATTGCGAGCTGAATGTTCTGAGGTGATGGTTCATGATATCCGCAAGGGGGAATGGTGAACAATTGATTCCGAAGGTCACTCGCGTGAAGCGGTATGTGACTAAATTTCCTTCAGTGGTCGGTTGTCGAATATCTCGGACCCACATGAATCTTGTGACGTTTCTGTCTGATGGATGAAGCCGTACTTGTAAGAAGATTTTTCAATGTTACTAATTATCGCTGTATCTCCGATTCGGAAGCGAATCAAGTTGTCGCATATTTTGGGGAGAATGACCGATCCTTGATTGACCGGATTTTGATTTAGCACATCTTTGAGAGAAGGGCAGTTTTTCAGGTGCGCAGATGCATCGAATACTATTTGAAGTTTCGTAGTCTTCTTTTGAGGAGTTATAACTGCGTGATGAGCTACGTGGTGCGCTATCTCTTTTTCAGAAGATTGATCATCACTCACTTCTTCGATGATTCCTCGTTCTAGTTGGTCCATGATTGTGTCGTGATATTGTTGCAAAATGGTATCATTTTTTGGGAGATGGATCATGTTTGCTTCCAGTCGTCGATAAGTAGCTGTTTGTTGCCTGGCAACTGCTTGGAGTTGCTCTTCCATAGAAGACGCACATAATATCCGTCCTTCCGTTTCTCTATGCTTTCTTGAAATCTCTTCCTATTGTTGCATTCGTTAGTCGCCGCTCTTCTGTTGCAGGACCCGTGAATTCATGAGTGCCATTTCTCTCTGTCGCTTTCGCTTGACTGTCCTCAGAAACACTTTCCTCTGGTGCTTGTCCTGAGCCCAGTCTTTGTGCGAGAAGACCCTTGTGGCGTGGAGCAGAGACTACAGTCGGTTGACAGATCTACGAAGAATCCCTTGTCGGGATGCCAAGGATGACGACATAGTGAAAAGTCACCTACATCACTAGAGCAGAACCGTGTATAGGTAGAAGTATAGTCGCCTGATAATCGGAGTAGGAGTGGGGTCTATAGTGGTAGTCGCTTGATATCCTTTAGAAGGCTTCTTTGACTCGACTGCTTCCACTGGCTCTGGATCCGTGACTGGGCCGATGCACCAGTTGTAGTGATTCCTGTTAGCCCTGGACGTCGGGAGAGAGTAGAAAGTGGTTTATTGCGAGTACATGGGCCTTTCATCAACCAACACAAACAATAACAATTAGATCACTTATAGCATTGCCTCAGCGGTTCATTTTTCTCGTTCGTAAACATCAACTTGGTTCGACATGGGTTGATAATAGAGGATTCTCTATCCTTACCATATATAAAGCGCTCGCGTCTGTCTGTCTGTTTGTGTGTCTGTTTGTTGTACGGAAATTCGATATAACATGAACAAACACTTGGAGAGGCCAGGTCAAGTTTGGAATGGGTTGAGCATAGGGCAAGACCAGCAGAGCACACGTGAGCTCAACGGAGCTCCGCCC